AGACTTRCGAGGCTTATTTATTATATTTTAATAAGGTCAAAACTTATGCTGAATGGTGCGGATTTCTTCCCTTGAATTCAAAGAAAATATTCCTTTCCTACCAATGATCATAACACACAACCAAAATGAAATCTTTTAAGTTTTTTATTAAAAACCATGCTTTGTATTGTTCTCAGTATTGACATTTATCCCACAAGCTGAAGTGATTGTCGTCAAGCAAGTCACTACTTTAGCAATTACCATTAGCAAATAACAAGGACGTTATATTTACGTATCGTATGTCACTTCTTCAGAATTTATATTTTTCTGCCACAAAAAACTCCAAACTTTCAATCTTTAGTTATGAAATTATATAACAGTGATTTACATAACAAAAGTAGTATAGGATGTCTTCAAGTGCAGAGGAAATCAATTTYATACAATCAAAACAACAACGACAGAAAGAACAGCTTAATTGATCTTTATTGAATTTTCAAAACATAACATAAAAAGCAATAAAGTTTSGTCCGCTGTGTTCTGATTAGACTGCAAAGACTCGACTGACAAACCAAACGGCTTTAAATAATGAACTACTCTAATTTCACACAAGAAACCAATCCCTGTATCCCAGAAAAAGKTAAATTKGAATATGTTAAAGGCACATMTTTCATTTTTTTCGGCGCATTGGGAGTTATTGGAAACGTCTTCATCATCGTACTCGCTGCCAAATACACAAAAAGAAAGAACCTCCATTACTTGATAATCAACATGGCCGTTTCTGACATCCTCATTGCGATCTTGCACACCACAGAGATTACCAAAATTTCCTTTCCAAGCAATACGCCAGAATCACTGGCAATCGTTCTCTGCAAGTCGGTCGACTTTTTGAAAAACACATCGGAATTGCTCACCCTGACAACATTATTGATTATAAGYATTGAGCGTCATCGAGCTACGAAACTCGTAATTGGCGCAAAAACCTGCTCAAAGCTGAAACTAGTCATTATTGCTTGGCTGCTGTCAATGTTGCTGACCTGCTCTACTCTTATATTTGGAAATGTTGTTCTGTCCGGCTCTGGACARCAACTGGTTTGTTCTCATGGTAATAAAACATCAAAGGTTGGAGCTGCTTTATACCTTACAAAATCTATTTGTTTAGTTTTGCTATATTCATCTGTGTTCATCATAAGTGTAGTTACGTCTGTAAGACTTTCCAAGTCGAATCCTATCCAAGCCAGTCTTTCTGATGGACAGAGAAAGCGTCGAGCGAGGCGCATGATTCGCGCTGTTAGAATGGTGYTATGCTCGTTCGTACTATATTCAATATGCTATCTCCCTGACTTTCTTGAGGATGTCATAAAAAGCATCGATCCTAATATTAATAAGGTATCAGGWCAATGTAAAAAGCTACAAGATTTTTTACTGCACTTTCCCAAAGTACTGAATTCCTGCCTCAGTCCTTTGATCTATTTGGTGTTTCTTGATGACTTTAAAAGAGCGGCAAAACAATTGGTATGTGCCAAACATGCACAGGAAACTAACGATTCAACACGTGGAGATCAACAAGAAATTGCAGTAACACAACCGATGTGATTTTGATGAGTTTTTTTAAATGATTTTAATCGACAAAAGGTTATAAGGCAATTTGCAGAGCACCAGACTATTGTGTTAGCTMTTCTTTGATGGTAAAGTTCAATCCCACGGGTCCCAACATTTCCATGTATAAACACTTCCTGCTATTCTACATTGAAGAAGTCACTAAAGACGTAGCAATGCATGATAAAATGCATGATTGGTTCACTCTGGACCCGTAAATGGCTCTTTTAGCTACTGAATCTGCTTTTGTTTCTAAGAATTCAACTTTGTGGAAACAGAAAATACCACGAACAATCAAAGTTACTCCCGGGTAGTTCGAATCAGGTGGATAGTTATAACGATGTTAAGACAAAGTTATTTGCACATAACATGTTTGTATTTTTGTCAATAATGTTTAACTTGCAAGTATGATGTGCAGTTTTGAATCAAAATCGTTCGCGGGATGGAAAAAATACCCTTTATGCAAATGACTTTTTGTAGTGGCTTGATGTCTGTACAAGTAAAATGTAATTATAAATGTAAATAAAATTAAATGAATTAAACATACAATTACAGCAACATTTGTTCCTAATCAAAAACGTTCACTCAAATTAGAATAAAAAAAATAAAATAATAAAAAAAGAAATCTTAGTAAGGTCATTGAAATTTGTGCTCAAAGTTGAACAGTTTAGTCAAGCTTTCTAGGTTCTCTCCTTAAGTGTCAACACAACTACGTTATTAGCCAATGCAAAACCAGTACAAAGTTAACGTTAAAGTGAAAAACCTTTTTTATGTATTCTATGTCTTATCATTGATCTTTTTATATTCTCATGTGTGATTTCATTTATTATTAATGTATTTTGGGGAACACTTTTGCAAACAGGTGTAAATGATCAATGGCAAATTYTTCTTCAGTAATTGAGTGTRYACTGCGGGGCAAATGTCCTCTAATACTACAATGGCTGAACAGTTCTCTCTGCGTTTTCAATTGTTCGAATCATGAACTAAGTTTTCCTGGCTTCAAAGATCAAATTTCACGTAAAAGAACCAAAAGAATCTAYCACCTGCTTTCCGGAAAGACGAGTTTTTGAAAGTATTGAAAAATTAGTCACATCTTCAGGTAATTATTTTTGGTGGATTGATAACTATAATTGAGAGAATAACTGCAACGAGAGAATTTTAGAAAATGATGAACTGTGAAATACGCGACTTGAAAAGAGGAAAGCGAAATGATAAAGATGATTTCTAAGTTGATTTTGCTAAGCTAAGAACAAATGCAAATGTTTGTTTTAATCCATATGTAAATACATGACTAAAGAGGCCTGTGGAAGAGACAAACTGTTTCTTTCAGCTGTTAGATTTTTCATTTGACTCTAAACAAGTCATTTGATTAAGGAAGTAGTTATTGGTAATATCAAATTAGTTCTGTACAAAATATGTTTGCTGCCGGACACTGCTAGATGGTTTATTGATTAGATTAGTCAGATGCTTGAAGTACCCACCTCAAACTCTCTCAAACCCTCTCAAACTTTGAGAATAWACATATATTCTTTTCAAACATTTAGCAAAGTGCTCGTTGGCTGTTGCTTATCGAGATTCTYTTATGTATAATTGATTCTAATGCAAAACTGGAAAATATATAACGAGCTGCGGCAGTTACGCAATAGAATGTAAAATAATACATAAGAAAGAATAAGAAATGAATCAGTAGGTATAAGGTATAAGTAGAAATTAATGCCATGATGTTTTAGAATATTTATTTCATAAGTAAATAGTTTCAAGAAAAAGATTTATATCATGTTTCACCATGATTAATAAAGCCGCATACGAATAAGTTTCCTAAATTCTTTACCTTAGCATTGATTTCGCTATGGCAGGACTATGAATTACGGTACAACGTATTGAAGAAATCTTGCATTTTTTAGTTATGTTATTTTCTACCTTAAATTATGTTTATTGTTTGTTTGTTTTTTTCTATTGGAAGTAGAAGAGGAACTTCCGTGAGAACATATATTCTCATTAAAAAATCATATGCTAGTTGTTCATTACATAACACAGAGGACCTGATTATGAAGACTAACATAGCAATAATCTAGCTGGTTGTATAAGTGCTTATGCGGGCAAGTATTATCATTTACAAGATCATTTTCAAATAGCATAGAGTTTATACCAGTATTACACTTTATGATATATGATGTATAATTACTACAGTGTTATTTTGTGTGGTACAGCCTTATAGGTCCATCCACAAAGAAGCGTTCGAATTTCTTTTGTTAAAATTTTGTATTGAATRATTAATGAAGTCTATAGAGCAACTTTGTAATCAAAAAGACATCAGAAAAAGGTTTTGCTTAACAATATTTACTTAATCTTAAGACAGCGGAGAAGTGGCGACATTGATAAATCTTTGTAGAACAGGTACTTTTGTGTTAGCTTTTGTGAACGACTCGGGGACTTGGTTTGTTTGCAGTCTTTTATTTTATGCGCTTTGCTCATCGAGAGAAGCGTTACAAGCTGATGAAGAACGGGAAGATCTTTTCGTAAGTAGACGTTGGGGCAGGAATTAACCCTTTCCTTACTCAGAGCTAGGCCGAGCTGCTCTCAGACTTGTGAACTAACTGTAGCTTCGATGTAGAACAAAAACTAGTTGCTAATCTTATTTTTAAAGATAATTTGGATAAGTACTAAACCAGAATAAACCTGTTTGGCAGCTGTTTAGGTGCAGGAAAATATCCAGATTAAGTCTTGATCACTTCCAAATGCAAAGAATATGACTTATTCAAATTAAGTTAAATTGAAGTTAAATTAGATTGTATCCAATAGAAACCCAAGTTGCCAAGTGCTATGAGTTAATTTGCATAAGTTTAAAAAACTATATTGCCACTACTTTTACATACTCTGCACCTCGGCAAAATATGAGATACAAAAACCATCAATTTGGCGCGCAACATTGTTTCTGTATGTCCAAGTTCAGGTTCGATGCTCCTCATTTTTCATCGCGGGAGTTTAACTTGGCAGACAACAGAATCCTCTGTTGCGAGTTGATGAAATCTCGCACGCTAATTGGTTGTTTTGTTGATTTTGCATGTTGCGTGCCAAGTTTCAATCTCGATGAAAAACAAGAGACAAAGYCAAAATTTGTATCTGAAACTAGAGCGAGAGTCTACTTTGCGAAACAGCTTTCTTCAACTCTCAACAGAGGGTTTTTTGCGTGCAAGGTTGATCAGCTTCATCACTAGACAGCATTAAATCTCAATTCAAACCATTTTTAWTCCGCGAGTCACCTGAACAATTTGTATTGTTAATATACCATTTTTACAGTTATCAGTTATCAGCCATTTGCATTATGAATATACCTGTAAATCYAAAGACATTTTATAACTACATCTCAAAATCTTTAATTATTATAATTATTTTAATTGACATCTTAAATTAAACTTCAAAAGGTAATCAAGCTGAGCCCGTTAGGCTCTCGACTCAACAGCTGCAGAGAGACATCCAAATAAACAGTTTGGAGCGAATCATGAACGATTCCAATTACACAGAAGAAACCAGTTTCTGTATTACAAACAGAAGTGTTTTTGATTATGTCAAAGGCACGTGTTTCCTTGTTTTTGGTGGATTGGGGATTCTTGGAAACATCTTCATTATCATACTCGCTKCCAARTAYACATCAAGAAAGAATCTCCATTACCTGATTATCAACATGGCTGTTTCTGATATTCTCATTGCAATGTTATATATTCCCGAATTTACCACAATTTCTGTCCCAAGCAAGGTTCCAGAAATAGTCTCAAATGTTCTCTGTAAATCAGTCAACTTCTTCAGAAACACAGCAGAGCTGCTCACCTTGATAACATTATTGATTATCAGTATCGAACGTTACCGAGCTACGAAACTCGCCATYGGTACAAAATCCTGGTCAAAGCTGAAGCTAATCTGTATTGGTTGGTTGGTGTCAATGTTGCTGTCTTTCTTKAAYCTTATATTTGTTTACGCTGCTAAGATTAACCCGCTTRTGTGCTCTCGCKATAAGGRAACAAATGCTTTTAATGCGTTGTACATTCTRAAATCTATTTGTTTAGTTTTGATGTATTTGTCTGTGTTTGTCATCAGTGTAGTMACMTCTGTCAGACTTTCCAAGTCGAATTCCATCCAATCCCAYCTTACTGATGAACAGAGAAGGCGTCGAGCRAAGCGTATGATTAGTGCTGTTAGAATGGTACTGTGTTCGCTGTTATTGTACTCAGTSTGTTATCTTCCTGAGTTTATTGAWGATATCATTAAGAGCGTGGATCCAACTTTTGCAGATGGATTAAGCGAAAAMTGCSAGGAGCTGCTAGAATTTCTTCTGRCCATTSCCATAGTAATAAATTCGAGTATTAGTCCATTGATCTATTTGGTATTTCTGGAAGAYTTTAGAAGAGCGGCAAAGAACTTGATATGGACTCAACATACTCCACCAAACGATTCAACTTAGGAAGGCTGTACCAGTACTAACCGTGTCATTAAAGTTTCTGTCAAAATGGAAACAATCAATCTTCATTTAAAAATGAAAAAAAATGAAAAAAATATAAAAAACAATGCGGACCTTTACAGTACAACTACAGCTGGTGTCTAAAAGACAACAACTTGAACTGTAGTTTAAAATGAAGAATTTCGAGAAATTGTAATTCGCACATATTGACGACTTTCATAATAGCTGATGATAATCTGCATATTATAGTTAAATTCATAATGCTGACAAAAGAAAACACTCAAATGATAGATATCAAAGGAAGATAAGTTCTGAAAGTGTCACAGAAAAGTATTAAATTCTCTTGAGGTTAGAAGAGGCACAAAAACAGCAAAACGAGGTCACCAAGGCCCAAGTCATTTTCATCCTCGTATTTTCAATCCTCCGTAACTTCGATTAGTCCTTAGCCTAAAAACTTTCTGAAAAAAAATATTTCTAATACTTCTTCTATGTGACAGTGTTGAATGTTTCCATAATGTAATCAATTGTAAAAAGTCAATGGCTGGCACTTATGAAAGTTGTCTAAAGTAAACGTTGTAATGTTTGTATAGTCAAGAAAAGTATACGAGTGCTGTGRTTGTAATAGACGCCGAACCCACTCTGCTCATTTCCCCAGGTTTKCACTTTACAACGGYGTGCTATTAAACACCGCATTCCTTACAGCGCTTTTACAGTGACAAAAGTCGTATATTTTTCTGAATTTAAAAGTATTTACAATCGCCATGTAAATAGGTTTCTTTCCAAACTTAAATTTTCGCGCACTGATTGGCTGATAAGGTTRTGACAATAAGAGGACGTGCACACTGTACACATCACGTCTCTCSCGTGCTCAATACAACTCAAAACCTTGAGCAATTTGTTGAATATTTGTTCGATTACTAAATTAAAAAATTTCCTAGTTTGCCCTTCTGTAAATCTTGTGAGAACTTATCAATGTGGTCTATCTTACAGTTTATAGAGGTGAAAATAAATTGTATCTATCACTGTAGTCCCAACTCATTTCTTGCTTTGAGCACGCAAACGCTTAGCTACCTTTCAATGTAAGCATAAGACTACAAAAATATATCATGATGGCGCTTGGAACTGTAAAATGGTTAAAAATTCG